AGTACCTCAAGAAGTACTATGCATTGTGGTATTTCAAAGACAACATTGTTCTTAGAAACGCAGATGTTGCCCTTGCTAAAACTGAGTCCTCTTCCTTCTGTGGAAGAGGTTAGCTGACTCTATAGATCCACACTCTCCTCAGACCATTGTCTGGTGCATAAGAGGTTTGGCCGGTTCTACAAATATAGAGCCGCATCTCTTCCCATAGAGATAATTCTTCGATCAACTTTGGGGTTGGATGCGAATCTCCGACATTCCTTCCCAGGCTGATTCTTTGTTCGCCTCTTGGGATTGATTTGAGTGCCTCCAACATTCTTTCCCAATGTGCCCTTTTCCTTAGAACTTTCATAAACTTTATAATTCTTCACAAATATTCATATATTGCAACATTCACATAAAACTTTCACAAAATTCTACACTGCATAAAATCCTATAGACATGTTTCACAACTCTTCTAAATTTCAAAAATTCCATAAGAATTTCACAAACCTCCACAAATCCCTGCATCCACAATCCCAACAATTACAAATCTTTGCAAATTTTCACAATCTCTGCAAATTATCCACAATTTCACAATCTTCATAAATCTCCGCGATTTTACAATTTCACAAGTCTCCAAGTCGCCTCAGCACATTTGGAATAGGCTTAGTCCTATTCTTTCTCAGCATGTTTGGGATAGGTTTAATCCTAGTCCTTTCTCAGCACTCAGCACATTTGGAATAGGCTTAGTCCTATTTTTTGTCAGCATGTTTGGGATAGGTTTAATCCTAGTCCTTTCTCAGCACTCAACACATTTGGAATAGACTTAGTCCTACCTATCCTTTCTGAGCACTCAGCATTCTGCATATTTTGGAATAATTTCAATTCTCACTTTGAGGACAATACCCAAATTCTTATTCCCCTTGATCAACTCTTGAGTTAGATGTGAGTCTCAGAGCTTTCTTCCTCAATGTAGTAGATATTTTTCTCGCTACCACTTGAGTTGGATGTGACGTACTTGCCCAAGAAAGAAATGAGCAAATCATGCAAACGGAAGAAGGGTAAACTAGTCCATGAGGGACAAGGGCACATTACCAATATATGAAAATAAGACTTTTCATCACATATCAGTTCGAATATAACATCCCCAGCAGAGTCACCAGAATTTGTCAGTCGTTTTAACCTCGTGATTTGAAAAAAGTGGTGATTTTATGATTTTGAAAATAATTTAAATATGACTATAATCTTTTTGATTTTTAAAAGTAACATTTTAATTTTAAAATATGAGGCCCTAAAAGGGCCTCACATTTTAAAATTAAAATGTTACTTTTAAAAATCAAAAAGATTATAGTCATATTTAAATTATTTTCAAAATCATAAAATCACCACTTTTTTCAAATCACGAGGTTAAAACGACTGACAAATTCTGGTGACTCTGCTGGGGATGTTATATTCGAACTGATATGTGATGAGGAGAATATATATGTCAAGTTAGGAAGGAAAGCATTGAGACTCACATCCAACCTAAGTGGTGACGAGAAAAATATCTGCTACATTGAGGAGGAAAGCTCTGGGACTCACATCCAACCCAAGTGGTAGC